CGCTTCCCGATCCGTCCCGGAAGCACGATCCGTTCTGAAAGCACGATCCGTCCCGGAAGCACGATCCGTTATGGAACCGGCCATCTGCAGAACCAACAGATAAGCTGGAAGCCAGCGGTACAATCTGTGTGACGGAAGACGGCACACACATATGTTTGCAGCAATATCCCCTTCACTTGCTTCTGTAGCAGAGAGAGCGAGTGAAGGTTAGCGTCTATGGAGGGGGAGCATCCAGATTTAAATAACTGAAAATAAAACTATTCAATTCTATTCAGTTTGTTTCAATAACTCCTATTCACATCATGTCATCTCAAGGCTCTTTCCAGCAATCCCTCACACTAAGCATGCTTGTAGCGACAGTGGAGAGGAAAAACTCCCTTTGAACAGGAAGAAACCTCCAGCAGAACCAGGCTCAGTGTGAGCGGCCATCTGCTGAGGCCCACTGGGGTTCAAGGAGACAGAAGCAGACATAGAAAAAGAAGCATAGATACAAAAGGCAACTGTCAACCAGCTCCACAGGTGGCCCCCCCGTCCAGGAAACACACAGCCAGGCAGACGAGCTCCGAGCCAGCTCCCATGTCAGAGGATGAAGAGAGCACCTCCAGTTAGTCACAGTCAGAGAAACAGGACTACACTGGAAAACAGGCCAAGCTCCAACATCTAGAAACAAAGGTGTTGATGGCAGCAGCACAGCTGATATTTCTCTCCAGGATGGAGTCACAGCCAAACAGGAACAGACCAGATGAAACTACTATGAGAAAAAGCAGAGAGAGCAGAACGTTAGAGATTGAACTAACAGATTCTGCAGAGTGGGAGAATAGAGATAGAATGAAGCAGAGTGATGAAAAAGGGGTCCCTATGTCCTCCAGCAGTCTAAGCCTATAGCAGCATATCTATAGAGATAGCTCAGGATAAATCACTGGCATCAAAATCTTCCTCTGCCTTCTGCCCTCCTTATACTTTTAGAAGTTATTGTTTTTTTAGGTCAACAATTATCCAATTATCTCCATGGAAACGCCCACCACACATCTAGGAGGAGAATGTCTCCTGCGGCTGATTAAACAGATGACGGAGCAAATGGGAAGCTGCTTTCTGTGTAAACATGTCCGGAGGTGAGATGGTTTGGGTTTCTGTTCTCCGTCTGCTGGAAGCAGCAGCTCCTCCCGCTTGGCTGCAGCTCACTGAACGTGTACAGATGAAGGTTACGCCGCTGATTATCACGCTGGCTGTAATCGCTGGTCCGCATCCATTTCGTTTCAAAATGGAAGCCCTGAGGTGCACCTTTCATCAAGGTAGATTCACCGCAGGCTTTGTTTGCTCTGGATTTCGGTCTAAAAAGTCAAAACCGGTTTAGAGACAATAGCAGCAAACTGGTCTCAATAAATCACCAAGTAAAGAAGTAAATCCCCATGATGACAATCAGTACAACTCTCAGAAGTTTCCATCTAATCATCGTCATCATCAGTGAGGTTCTTGCAAGGTCAAAAGGATCCAGAAAGAGTCAGATTGATTCTGTTGGATCTTCTCATAATTATTCAAGGTTCTTTGAGATTTCCGAGCCACAAAAGTGCAGGAATCCTTCCTAGTGGTGGTTCCTCTGGACTGACTGGGACTCAGAACACCAGAACAGTTCTAGGAACTTTTTGGGTTGGAAATAACTTGGATCTCTGGAGGAAAACGTTCTGTTGGATTCAGTCTTTGACTACTGCAGATTAAAGATTTAGATTAGGCCTTAAACCTAAAGCCTGGTGGCCACAGGTACGGTGATGGCAGTATAATAGTTTGTTTCCACTTGTACTGGTGCCTTGCTCAAACTGGAGGGAATAATGCCAGAAGAAAAGGTTCCTAACCTGAAATCAGGACGGACCTGAGGAACCAACTGGTTTTCAGCGATGAGTACAGCTTGGATGTGCTCTCTTCATCCTCTGACATGGGAGCTGGCTCGGAGCTCGTCTGCCTGGCTGTGTGTTTCCTGGACGGGGCCGCCTGTGGAGCTGGTTGACAGTTGCCTTTTGTATCTATGCTTCTTTTTCTATGTCTGCTTCTGTCTCCTTGAACCCCAGTGGGCCTCAGCAGATGGCCGCTCACACTGAGCCTGGTTCTGCTGGAGGTTTCTTCCTGTTCAAAGGGAGTTTTTCCTCTCTACTGTCGCTACAAGCATGCTTAGTGTGAGGGATTGCTGAAGAGTCAATGAGTCGATGCAATCAACTGGTTTTCCTTAGATAGAAAACTTTGAATCAATCTGACTGGATGATCTGGTGAACTGGAAAGTGACCTGAGATTACCTGATGTGAATTGGAGCTATAGAAATAAACTGAATAGAATTTAATTTATAACATACCTCTAATTGGTAAAAGTTTAACCAAAAGAAAAAAAAAAGAACGACATTAATCTCAATCAGCTGGTTTTCCTTGGATAGAAAACCAGTTACAGTCAGAGAAACAGGACAACACTGAAAAAAAGGGGTCCCTATGTCCTCCAGCAGTCTAAGCCTATAGCAGCAGAACTATAGAGATAGATCAGGATAACCTGAGCCACTCTAACTAGAAGCTTTATCAAAAAGGAAAGTTTTAAGCCTAGCCTTGTGTGTTGTCCCTAATCCCAGCTCCTCCATGTCCCCCCCCCCCTGGAGAAGGTGGAGGCCCAGTGAGCTGTCAGCTGTATGGAGGAGTTAATCTGGTTCTTACAGGTTCTGACACCTTAAACGCAGCTTTACTGCTCACAGGTGTGAACAATGTTCCTGAACTTCATGAGTTTCCTGCAGGGAAATAGTTGCTAATGTTTGTTCACCTGATGCTCAGTGATGACCTCATCCTGGGGTATAATGTTAGCTCTGACCAGGAGCCGATGCCCTGAGGGCCCTCTCTCCAGGAGGAGGCGCTCTGTCCTCTGATCCCGTCCTTCAGGGTTCCATCCTTCCATCCTAGATCCGGGTTCTGCAGCGTTTCCATGCGTTCTGATGACTTCCACATAGAACATGTTCTCTTCTCCTCTCTTCTCTCATGCAGTGACCCACGAGCATTTGAAGGACCGAGCCCTGTTCAGTTTCCCCCCTCCTCCGCCAGGGGCCAACCCTTCAGAGTACTACCACCTGATGGCCAGCGCCAGCCAGAGGAGCCCCTACGGCGACCTGCTGATGCAGAACGGCGCGGCAGCGGCCGCCGTCCATCTGCCGGATTACATCAGCCCTGTGGACGGTGAGAACGGCCAGAGTTCTGCTCCATCAGCAGCTCACATGGCAGCCATGTTTGTTCTCCTTCCTCCTGCCGTGGTTTCCATCCCTTCCTGTCCTCCATTGGAAGCTGACCGCCTGCATGCTGGCGTTCTCTAGTTTTCTGTGTTTTTTGGGTTGCAGTTGTTTTCGGTTGAGAACAGGAACCGGTTTAAAGCTGAGTCTGGAAAAGTGTTATACTCTGACAGGAAGAATGTTACGGGAAATATTTTCCCATCGGTTCACAGAGACCGGCCTGTTCTTCTGATGAGTTAGAGACTCTTTCACCAACCTGGAGCTGGATTTAAACAGCATCCGGAGTCCAGAACAGGCTGCCTTTCTGGGGCATCAGAATCTGATACCTGCAGGAGCCTTTGGTTCCATCCAACCAGCCCCCCCATCAACAAACTGCTGCAGGGGGGGAGGCCTGAAGACCGCAGACCTCTCCTCCTGACTGACACAGAGCTATAAGATCTGCTGCTTGATTACTCGGCCATTAATCTTAGAAACGTCCCCCATCAGAGGCGAACGCAGCGGGGCTGAAGGTGTCCCCCCCCTTTCCTCCCCCCGTCCTCCTCAATAACCTCGGTTGGCCACTTTGTTTGCTTTTTGGCCACAACCTCGGTCACCCCGTTTGGCCGCTCCGCTGCCTCCATCCCAGGCTGACTGATGTGGTCAGCGGTGGGGGGCTCTGCCCGTCCGGAGGCTCTTCCACTCACAGAGACCATATTGACTGAGGCAGCTCGCTAATGGCCGCCGCGGACCGCCTCAGATTGAATCAAAGAGCTTATTTAGTGGGAGAGCGTGGCCATAGCAGTGGTGAAGGTGGCAAATGTGAGCTACATCCATTCCTGCCTGTTTGTTTTGGGTGAATGCACAGATAAATATTAAGAAATCAATTTATGCATTAATATTCAGCAGACCCACCACAAAGCCTGAAAGCCCTCAGTGAACCCAAGAACAGGACGGCTGTGAGGGTGGAAAAGTTTCCCAGTCTGTGACCCAGTGGGGGAACCTGATGCTCTGCTGCAGGCTTTCTGGGGGACACCTCAAACCAGAGCCTCACCACCGTCTGGAGTTTCTACCAGAAACTGGTCCTTACTGGGATGACTGGGATCCTGATTCCTCTCCAGTATGAGACAATTATCCTGCTACCTTCTGTTGGTCCATCCAGGGGCTTTACTGAAGTCTGCCTGGCTGTGTTTCCTGGACGGGGCCGCCTGTGGAGCTGGTTGACAGTTGCCTTTTGTATCTATGCTTCTTTTTCTATGTCTGCTTCTGTCTCCTTGAACCCCAGTGGGCCTCAGCAGATGGCCGCTCACACTGAGCCTGGTTCTGCTGGAGGTTTTTTCTGGTTTTCCTTAGATAGAAAACTTTGAATTAGAGCTGCACCCAACGCAAAGCAGTGCGGCGCGGGACAAATATTGAAAGCTCATTGTGGAGTGAACTCAACAGGAAGTGAAACGTTTTATCGTTTCCTCGCTAAACATGGAGTCTAGGGAATCTCCAGTTATTCTGGATTCCAGAATCACTTCCTTCTAAGAGGAGAGCGGGAACTGATTCCGAATTGTTTGGAAGTTTGACTGAAATCGGATGTTTCTAACTTTCCAAACGGAGATTATTCAAACTATGGCCTGATTCAGGGAAGATACTAACTGCAGTAGAATATATTAACCCATTCAGTGTCTTTCCACTGGAAGTTGGACAGAATATTTTCCTGTTGTAGGAAGATGTTTTACTTCCTGATCCAGTTTGGAACTAAATCAATCCTCTAGCGATCAGAGATGACGGCTGATTTATCTGATTAAAACACTAAATGTTCATATTAGTGAGATGCAGAAGGAATCCTCCATGTTCCTGTTCGCTCGGTTCCTCCTGGAAACAGGAACAGGAAGTAAGAACGGGAAACAGGAACAGGAAGTAAGAACGGGAAACAGGAAGTAAGGACGGGAAACTGGAGCAGGAAGTAAGGACGGGAAACTGGAGCAGGAAGTAAGAACTGGAAACAGGAACAGGAAGTAAGGACGGGAAACTGGAGCAGGAAGTAAGGACGTGAAACTAGAGCAGGAAGTAAGGACGGGAAACTAGAGCAGGAAGTAAGAATGGGAAACTGGAGCAGGAAGTAAGAACTGGAAACAGGAGCAGGAAGTAAGAACTGGAAACAGGAGCAGGAAGTAAGAACGGGAAACAGGAACAGGAAGTAAGGATGGGAAACAGGAGCAGCAAGTAAGAACGGGAAACAGGAGTGAAAGTAAGGATGGGAAAAAGGAGCAGGAAGTAAGAACGGGAAACAGGAACAGGAAGTAAGAACGGGAAACAGGAGCAGGAAGTAAGAACGGGAAACTGGAGCAGGAAGTAAGAACGGGAAACAGGAACAGGAAGTAAGAACGGGAAACTGGAGCAGGAAGTAAATCATCATTTCCAACTTTTATTGATTTAAGTTTTCTGAACTTCATGTTGATCTGAAGCATCTAGAGCAGGAGGAGGAATCTGTGGGGTGTAACTACAGGAGGGGTGTAACTACAGGAGGGGTGTAAATACAGGAGGGGTGTAACTACAGGAGGGGTGTAAATACAGGAGGGGTGTAACTACAGGAGGGGTGTAACTACAGGAGGGGTGTAAATGCAGGAGGGGTGTAAATGCAGGAGGGGTGTAAATGCAGGAGGGTGTAACTGCAGGAGGGGTGTAACTACAGGAGGGGTGTAACTACAGGAGGGGTGTAACTACAGGAGGGGTGTAAATGCAGGAGGGGTGTAACTACAGGAGGGGTGTAACTACAGGAGGGGTGTAAATGCAGGAGGGGTGTAAATGCAGGAGGGGTGTAAATGCAGGAGGGTGTAACTGCAGGAGGGGTGTAACTACAGGAGGGGTGTAACTACAGGAGGGTGTAAATGCAGGAGGGGTGTAACTACAGGAGGGGTGTAACTACAGGAGGGGTGTAAATGCAGGAGGGTGTAAATGCAGGAGGGGTGTAACTACAGGAGGGGTGTAAATGCAGGAGGGTGTAAATGCAGGAGGGGTGTAACTACAGGAGGGGTGTAAATGCAGGAGGGTGTAAATGCAGGAGGGGTGTAACTACAGGAGGGGTGTAAATGCAGGAGGGGTGTAAATGCAGGAGGGGTGTAACTACAGGAGGGGTGTAACTACAGGAGGGGTGTAAATGCAGGAGGGTGTAAATGCAGGAGGGGTGTAACTACAGGAGGGGTCTAAATGCAGGAGGGTGTAAATACAGGAGGGGTGTAACTGCAGGAGGGGTGTAACTACAGGAGGGGTGTAAATGCAGGAGGGTGTAAATGCAGGAGGGGTGTAACTACTGGAGGGGTGTAAATGCAGGAGGGGTGTAAATACAGGAGGAGTGTAAATACAGGAGGGGTGTAACTACAGGAGGGGTGTAAATACAGGAGGGGTGTAACTACAGGAGGGGTGTAACTACAGGAGGGTTGTAAATACAGGAGGGGTGTAACTACAGGAGGGGTGTAAATGCAGGAGGGGTGTAAATGCAGGAGGGGTGTAACTACAGGAGGGGTGTAAATGCAGGAGGGGTGTAACTACAGGAGGGGTGTAACTACAGGAGGGGTGTAAATGCAGGAGGGGTGTAACTACAGGAGGGGTGTAAATGCAGGAGGGGTGTAACTACAGGAGGGGTGTAAATACAGGAGGGGTGTAACTACAGGAGGGGTGTAAATGCAGGAGGGGTGTAACTACAGGAGGGGTGTAAATGCAGGAGGGGTGTAACTACAGGAGGGGTGTAAATGCAGGAGGGGTGTAAATGCAGGAGGGGTGTAACTACAGGAGGGGTGTAAATACAGGAGGGGTGTAAATACAGGAGGGGTGTAAATGCAGGAGGGGTGTAAATGCAGGAGGGGTGTAACTACAGGAGGGGTGTAACTACAGGAGGGGTGTAACTACAGGAGGGGTGTAAATGCAGGAGGGGTGTAAATACAGGAGGAGTGTAACTACAGGAGGGGTGTAACTACAGGAGGGGTGTAACTACAGGAGGGGTGTAAATGCAGGAGGGGTGTAACTACAGGAGGGGTGTAACAACAGGAGGGGTGTAAATGCAGGAGGGGTGTAACTACAGGAGGGGTGTAACTACAGGAGGGGTGTAAATGCAGGAGGGGTGTAAATACAGGAGGAGTGTAAATACAGGAGGGGTGTAACTACAGGAGGGGTGTAAATACAGGAGGGGTGTAACTACAGGAGGGGTGTAACTACAGGAGGGGTGTAAATGCAGGAGGGGTGTAACTACAGGAGGGGTGTAACTACAGGAGGGGTGTAAATGCAGGAGGGGTGTAACTACAGGAGGGGTGTAAATGCAGGAGGGGTGTAAATGCAGGAGGGGTGTAACTACAGGAGGAGTGTAACTACAGGAGGGGTGTAAATGCAGGAGGGGTGTAACTACAGGAGGGGTGTAAATGCAGGAGGGGTGTAACTACAGGAGGGGTGTAACTACAGGAGGGGTGTAAATGCAGGAGGGGTGTAACTACAGGAGGGGTGTAACTACAGGAGGAGTGTAACTACAGGAGGGGTGTAACTACAGGAGGGGTGTAAATGCAGGAGGGGTGTAACTACAGGAGGAGTGTAACTACAGGAGGGGTGTAAATGCAGGAGGGGTGTAACTACAGGAGGGGTGTAACTACAGGAGGGGTGTAACTACAGGAGGGGTGTAAATGCAGGAGGGGTGTAAATGCAGGAGGGGTGTAACTAAGGGGGGGGTGTAAAATCAGGAGGGGTGTAAATGGGGGAGGGGTGTTTAACTACGGGGGGGGTGTTTAAATACAGGAGGGGTGTAACTAAGGGGGGTTTTAAAACGCTCCATTGCTCTGGGAGGGAAATTTCTAAAAACCTCAAACGATTGAATTCCAGCTTTAAAAGAGCTGTTTTGGAAGGGCGAGGGAAAATTAGAGGTTTGAGTGAAAAGGGAGGGGGGGGGTGACATGGGGAGGCATTCAGAGGGCCGCCCGTCTCCGCCGGTATGCAAAGGGG